CGTAGCGCTCAAGTGCTGACGCTTCCGGAGCCACATCGCTGCAGGGAACAATTTTGTCCACGATTTTGGCCGTGTAATATGCTTTGGAGATACTTCCCCCTACTTTCCCCTAATCAGTAAAGCTAAAGTTCTGAGCAAGTCAGCCGTCAGTATGTAATCTGACATGAAAAAGAGGTAGCTATGGCAGCCTCAGCCATGCATCACGAACGGGGCTGCATAGGTATATGACCATTTGTGAAATAAGCATTAATAGGTATGCTGTATAGCACAGGAAAGTAAACTCTAGGTGCATCGTCGTGACGTACTAGTACATGGTGTGGATACTGGCTTATGGCATGGCATGGCGGAAGTCCTTAAGTCACCTCTGAGGAAGAAAGCACGTTTTATGTTTATGTGCGCATGTAGTGACGTGCAAACCGTTAATGCCACCAGCGCTACAGCTGCGGAAAGATACTAAGAGTTGAAGGGCTCTTCCTTAAGGTTTTAAGGTTTTGTTGAGGTTATTGGCATGTCCAAAATAATAACTTTTAGTTCTAGATCTGGGCAGACAATGTATCGTTCAGTGATCAGATATGGCTATAGATGATTAGGGGACTGTAAGCCCCATGATCATGAGCGAATTGTAAGAATCTGCGGGATTTGTGGCTGTGGATGTTTTAGTAATGCTTGTGATAGCTTGACGGCTTAGTTTGCAGCACCCTTATGGCCGCGGAGCCACATGACCACGGTGACGACCCCCACCCTAGTTCCACGGAGCAACAGCGACGCCACCGGACAACCCCTGTTCCTCCGACCGATCCAAAGCTTTCACCCTTTCTCTTTCCCGGCAAAAGCCCCTAGAAGTACCGCACTATCGCAGCAGTTGCTGCTGCAGGACCCCTGCCGCCGATGCCAGCAGCAACAGCACCCCTGTGGCCACGATCGGGTTGTCCAGACTGAGGAAGCGAGGGGTGGGTGTTGAGCCCGAGGGCCGAAGCAAGTTAGTGACGGGCTCGTCCGTCTCGTACGACTCTTCGCCGTACGATGAGTCCGCTACCGTACTTCTGTTGCTGCTGCTGCTCCCGTCCTTTGCCGTGGCGGTGGCCGCTGGTATATCGCTGTTCAGTTGTTGTTGCTGCTGCTGCGGCTGCTGGCGGCGGCGGCGGTCTTCTCGTTTCCGAAGCCATTCTGCGTAGAACCAGCGCTCCAGCCTGTGAGAGGGAGAGAGCGGATACAGATCAGGTTGAGAGGGGTAAAGCGGGTTACACGGCGAGATATGAAAGCACGTCAGGAGTTGGACGGACCCGGGACGCACCTAGAGCGCCTAGGGTAAGGCAAGTCGGAGTCGTGCAGGATGGGTTGCATTACCTGCGACCCGGGTAGTTCAGCCGATAAGTCATGCAACCCCCCCCAACACGTGCATACTCACATATGTACTGACATATGGTTCACACTCATCATCGCCGGCTGCATACGTACCGGATTGACGGTCGTCAATGATATCGGGGAGCTTCACAGCCGTCACCTTCGTCATCCCCATCCCCACCCCCATCTCTATTGCAACCATCATGCGTTTAACCATGCCTGCTTTCTCTCCGGCTCGTGGACAAGCCTCTGTTAATAAAGACCCGCCATTGCATTCTCATGTCCCGGCCCCGGCACCGGGCCCCTACAAGTGAGGGGGGAACGGCCTAGAAAGAAAGTGCCTCCCTGCCTACCGTACCCCTTAACTCCCTACTACCTTTCGGCATTGCTCCGCCAACACTGCGTCTCCAACAGAAAAAAATCCATACAGCACCGGCACGGAGAGAACCACGGTCACTTGACTCATTTGCAAATGATACCGTACTTCAACATTTAAGGCCAACACCACCATTCAGAGTTAGGTTCTCACCATCGCTCCTGTGTAGCTTCCGGCCCCTCCAGCTCCTGGAGGTAGGTGTTAAGCGGCCCTAGCCGCTTACTGCGACCTAACGCAGCGCGCTCTGAAGGCACAACCACAAGCCACCAGTACCCCGCGGCTACGGCTGTCAGCGCGAGTACAAAGCCTTGAGCAGCCAGGACGCTTGTGTCTGGCAGTTGGGGATCAAATGTCGTCCCCGGGGCCAAAGAGGTTGCTGAGGCAAGGGCGTCTGATGCGCTATGGGTTTGCAGGTTCACCATGTCGCCGCAAGTGGCGTCCTGGCATGGCGAATAGCCGTTAACCGCGAAGGGACCGCGAAGGGAAGCAGGACGCATGATCCGCATATATAAACTTCGTTTCAGTGGGAATTCTGTTTGGCGATGGTGTGTCCACGTCGGAGAGTTCGGCAAATGCGATATACATCGCTGATGCGATCGTCTCCAGCTTTGCCTGCACATCATGACTCTAACAACGATGATACAGACAGCGAAGCTATGTGGACGGTTTGATTTACAATAACTTGTTCTGTTAGATTTTCCAGTTTGTAAAAATTGGCAGAGCAGATTCACTTGCGGAAACAATTGGATTGAATTAACTAGACACACTAGGTTCAATACATTACACTTATATGTTAACAGCTGGTTGATATGATCATGTGGGTGAAAGAGGGCAACAACTACTGTTTATACGAGCTATGGCGAGGTCCCCGCGCACGTGAGAGTCATGGAACGGGGACCCCAAAACGAACGGCGCAAGGCCTCACACGGGGAACGTAAACCCTCCCCGTCAAAATCGCAACAATTTGCATTTTTGTTTGGTACTTTTTCAGCAGCTCCAAAACGTTCTGATGCTGTAAAAGCTGCAAGCTTATTAGGTGTAATGATGAACGAAGGTTCAAAACGTACTCCCCGAACCGTTCCTTCTCTGTAATCCATACCCCGGTGCTGTCCTCCACTATAAAGAAATGTTATTCAAGTATACTGGGCCGTAGTTGTGCTGTCATGTATAGCGGTATCAACAATTACTTGCCCGTAGCCCAGAAGCCATCGAAAACAAAATTTGCCCTTATGAAGACCAGAAATAGTAGCGAAGGCACAGAAAGAAACTGCGGAAAACGCCGCCACCAATGAACATGTGCCCTTGCTCCACATGCAGCCTGATCAAGACGAAGATCCCTAGAAGAGTATTTCTATACTAATCGTATACATGATGATGTGAATGCCGTGGGTGAGGAGGATGCATCATCGGGTGAGGGTTCGGACATTGATAAGGATGATGGGCCTGACGGCCCGAACTCCCGCCAGCTAGTGACGGAGGTATAATTTAAGTTCATCCACCAAACCGTCGCATCATCGGGGCGCTAGGGCGCCTGACAGCTGCACGGGCGGGGTCTGGTGACACTCGGGCGCTGGAACCTGGGTTGGGCGATGTCGGAATCTGGACGCGCGCTTGGGGCCGTGGCCTTGTGAGGGTATTTGGGGGCTGTATGCAAAAAATCAGCCCGAACGCTTGACTTTGGGCCGGGGCGCTAGGGTGCCTGACAGCTGCACGGGTGGGGTCTGGTGACACTCGGGCGCTGGAACCTGGGTTGGGCGATGTCGGAATCTGGACGCGCGCTTGGGGCCGTGGCCTTGTGAGGGTATTTGGGGGCTGTATGCAAAAAATCAGCCCGAACGCTTGACTTTGGGCCGGGGCGCTAGGGTGCCTGACAGCTGCACGGGTGGGGTCTGGTGACACTCGGGCGCTGGAACCTGGGTTGGGCGATGTCGGAATCTGGACGCGCGCTTGGGGCCGTGGCCTTGTGAGGGTATTTGGGGGCTGTATGCAAAAAATCAGCCCGAACGGCTGCATTCCAGTTGCATTCATGATTGCCGTACTCAGCCTCAGGTGTGATCCCTGGCCAGGCCATGTGGTCAGTCAAGGTCATGCATTCCCCAACCATGCTGTTTGAAATGTTCACAGCTTCTTGTAAATAAACAGGCAATTCACCAGCGAGATGTACCTGTGGCATACCAACACTCATTTCATGCACACACACGCAGCAGGATCATCCAGTATGCACCCATTCAGTATCCCATCACTCTCCCCAAACAGGAAGTCCTAGATTAACCCTCAGTTCACTTGGTCTGATTCCTGTTAGACCCCCCACGCTGTCTCTGTAGCAAAGCCGCGAGCTTGGCGCCCCTTCCCAGGCGTTGGCTCTGGCCGCCCCTGTTCCCCCGCTGGCCACCCCCTGTTGCTTGCTCGGCCCCCTTGGTTGGCTGCTTGCCGCCCCTGGTGGGCTGCCGGCGTGTCGATCACTGATGTCCCAGACAACATTCGAGTCCTGAAGGCAGTCCACTGCGGTGGTTCGGATGCTGAACTGCTTCCGGCAGGTTCCGCATTAGTGAACGGGAACCTCCAATTCAATAGGCTGGTCCCACGTCACCACGGTGATCGGACAAGACAGTGGTTTGCCGGAGCTCTCAGCCCGGCACGTAGGGCAGGTACTGATGTCCGCTGTGGCGACTGCATTCCTGAACGTGACCCCCGCCTGATGAAGCAGATTCTTACGTGATGTAACGGTTTTGTGGACGAACTAAAAGTATACCTCTGCCACTAGCTGGCGGGAGTTCGCGTCCTCACTGAGGATCATGGGCCTGGCAGGCCCATCATCCTTATCAATGTCCGAACCCTCACCTGATGATGCATCCTCCTCACCCACGGCATTCACATCATCATGTATACGATTAGTATAGAAATACTCTTCTAGGGATCTTCGTCTTGATCAGGCTGCATGTGGAGCAAGGGCACATGTTCATTGGTGGCGGCGTTTTCCGCAGTTTCTTTCTGTGCCTTCGCTACTATTTCTGGTCTTCATAAGGGCAAATTTTGTTTTCGATGGCTTCTGGGCTACGGGCAAGTAATTGTTGATACCGCTATACATGACAGCACAACTACGGCCCAGTATACTTGAATAACATTTCTTTATAGTGGAGGACAGCACCGGGGTATGGATTACAGAGAAGGAACGGTTCGGGGAGTACGTTTTGAACCTTCGTTCATCATTACACCTAATAAGCTTGCAGCTTTTACAGCATCAGAACGTTTTGGAGCTGCTGAAAAAGTACCAAACAAAAATGCAAATTGTTGCGATTTTGACGGGGAGGGTTTACGTTCCCCGTGTGAGGCCTTGCGCCGTTCGTTTTGGGGTCCCCGTTCCATGACTCTCACGTGCACGGGGACCTCGCCATAGCTCGTTTATACCGTACTACTGATATCAGATTCTGGAATGTTACCATCTGCACGTCACCTCGGTAGATTGGTATACTGCTCTGCATTCTTCTGACACCGAATGATTTCTGGGATTGGAGAAGAGGCACGCAGACGAGATATCACGTGGCTTACACGGAAGTGTTTTCTTCTCTTGGTAGGGTTTATATCCCAAAATGTCCTAGTGAATATGATCCCAGGCTCAAAATGGATCATCCATTTATTCATGAAGCACACGCGTTCGATGTTCAATTGGTCAGTGAAAGCTTTTTACAACCAAGAACACAGTTTACCGGAAGCAAATCTAGAACATCAGGAAAAATTGCACCAGAAAATCACCCCCGATAACTGATCAGTCCAGAACGCAACGCCTCTAACCACACATAGCACGAGCCCTGCTACGCGCAGGTGCTTAGACGGAGCGCTTGTTGGCCGGCTGCCAGTCGCGGGCGCTCTTGGGGCGCTGCACCAGGAAGCCCATGATCTGCACCTGCTTCACGTTGTCGAAGGCCACCAGGCGCACGTAGGCGTCCGGGAAGGCCTTGGTGCAGGCAACAATCTCGCGCAGCACCTGCATCGGGTCGCGGCAGCCGAACATGGGCAGCTTCCACATCGTCCAGTAGCGGTTGTCGTAGTACAGCTGCGGGGGAGGGGGAGATGGCAGAGGGAAAAGAATGACAGGATTATGTCAGTTGAACTAGGAAGGAAGACAACAAGGGCAGAGCGACCCAAAACCACTGCTGAGCACAAATGTCTCGTAACCCTCAACTTACGCAGGAGACTGGGCCGAAGCGGACGGTCGACTCGTTCGAGACGTAGGCCTTGTCAGCCTCAGCGAACTCAAGGCAAGGAATCCAGCCTACAGTTGGTAATTTTGGAAAGCACGTCTGTAATTAGGTGATGGCGAATCCACATAGCGCACAATTGATGAGCATAAGCGAGACGCACCGTTGGCGACGATGTAGTCAACCTGGGCAGCAATCTGCTCGTCTGTCAGAGGCGGAAGGTAGGAGAAGGTCTCGAACATCCTGAAATTGTAAGCATTGATATCATCATCCAGGAGGACAGAAGAATTTTCCTTGCGGAAGGGTCGAGGCCAACATGTTGAACCACGGCGCTGCTCACTTGTTGTTCACCGGGGTCCAGACCATCATCTTGTTAGCCTGGGCTGGAGCAGCAACCGGGGCAGCCTTAACAGCCGGCTTCAGACCGGCAACTGGGCGCACGCTGCTGCGGGCGGGGCGCGCAACAACGGCGGCCACAGACGACTTAGCAACAATAGCGGCCATCTCTTCTCTGCTTGAACAGAAAGGTCTCAGATCTTCAAAGAGTTGCGAACTGAAATTGCTTCCTGTTACTTTGTCATGAATCAGCGACGCCTTCTTGTATGGTGCGGATAACTGTACGATGATAAAATGTACGGCTACCTTCAAGCTTAGCCACAGCCTTCTCAGGAACCAAGAGTATTTGCCTATAAGGATAAGGGTTCATGGACGTGTTGACTTTGAATGTTAACTCGCTGCTCTGACGCGCAGATTTGATATGCTTGCAAGCCGGCATCCTTTCCTTATCAAACCCTAGCTATGTGGATATGTGTAAATCAATGCCGACTACACAACTGCATTGCTTAACTTAATGTAAGGACACAAATTGATGTCCCCAGCCCGGGTAGTAGGTTTCGTCGCAACTGTATGTCAGTTATGGCATTCCTGTAGGCAGCGAGGCTTTAAGGGTCAAGTATTTGAGGTAATATTGTTTAAAAGTAAATGTCTTGGGAATCATCTCGTGCCATCGAGTGAGTCTACCGCACAGGGAGGGATACCCATATAGTGTTGCACTTGCTTCGCAATGCATTCATTCCCAAGAGAAAGAAGTCTTACGGCATGCGCCACAAATTTACACCTTCAGAAACATGCAATAACACGTTGTGCTTATTTGTCTCGAGCAGCACAGCATGGAGCCCAGAAACCTAAGCGCATGGTTTCTTGAAACCCCGCATGCTACATCATGTTAAGCTATTCTCGCATGTTCGGAACACCTTGTATAGCTATTCAACCAGTATGCTTAGTCCTTAGCTGGTGATGTCATGCACGGGAAAAGTCCCTCTGGAGAAAGGGTTTGTCACCCGGGCCATGCATTGCGCCCACTCCGACACGCCCTCTGATCTCTTTCCCTCCGGCGATCGGTGAAAAACGGGTTTATAAAACATATAACCATTATAACGGTACGGTACGGGAGCGCAGGGAACCCCAGGTCAGCACCACCGCTGCACATGTTGGAAGCAACCGGGAGTGCAAGTGGCGAAGTATAAGCACTGGATGGGGCTGCCCTTTTCGGGAGCCGCAGCCGTTATGTGGCCAACACATGCTAAGGTTTTCACTCCTCGTTTAGCACATCGTAAGCTAATGCAGTTTCGTTTATGTTGCTGGGCTTTGGAGGCAAACAGAGCACGAAGGGGCAAGTACCATGTCCCCAGGGGGCAGCGGTTTTGCCACTGTTGTGGTACTAATAGCCGAATTGAGGATGAAAAACACGTGTTATTGGAATGCCCAGCCTATAAGGATATTCGTGCTGAAGAGGGATTCGATCATCACCAGAGCATGTTGGAGGCCATGCAATGGGAACCCGCACGTCTGGCGAAGATGTTGGAACGTACGTGGGCTCACCGAAACTCAATTACCCCCTTTGGACGCTAGTCTGGGCTGATGTGCGGTGTTTTCCTTTCCTCCGTGGCTTTTAGGCGTTGTAGTATTGCCCTTGGGCCTTCGGCTCGTATGGGTAGTCCTACAGGTACGGGGTCACGCACCCCCAACCATGTAACACACACACATGTTTAGTGCCTCTCTGTGCCTCCATTTCCTGTTTCTTTTGCCCTGCCTAGGGCCGGCCTTGAATGTCTCTGCGGGCTGAAGTCCCGGCAAATCCATAAGCCGCAGATATTGAGCAAGCAAGTCCGGGCTACAGCGAGCAGCTGTACCATTTCGCTGAAAAGGGTGCAAGGCCCCCCAGGTCCTCCAAGCCACACGTCCGTAGGCCGTGTTGCATTCAAGGAGATGGCTCGACATGGCTCCGTCGTACCTGCCCAATGGTGCAGGAGTGACATTTGAACGTGTAGATGGGTACGCGCTGAATGTCTTCTTTGTCATTGGTATCCAAGGGGTCCTTTCCAGGGGATTTGCAGCTGGAACCCTACCTGTCTTGGGGTTGGGGCGCCGGTCGCTCCTGTTATCAGCAGGGCCTACACTCTGTGGTGAGATGGCAGCCGAGGCGACTGAAGGCGAGTTCCATGGTCAGACCTGAGCACCATCATTGGCTATCTATCCATCATTGGCTATCCATCATTGGCTATCTATCTATCATTGGCTATCCATCTGGCTATCTATCTATCTGGCCCAGATGAGCTATAGGGAGTTAGCCCCGATAACAGTGTTCGGACTATCGTGTCTATTCGGACTACCGTGTCAGCCAAGGCAGAGGAAGCCAGGAAGTCTTGCAAGGAAATGGATGGACATAGGATGACACCTGTCATCCGTGACTACCGGTTGCGCATTGAGTAGATGGTAGCGATGTCATGTGTCTTTTCTCTCCGCATCTCTTTTGCGTGCGATTTCTGTCGTTATCCTCGTGTAAAGGCTTCGCTGTTTATGATGGACAAAATCTAACCTTGATTCGCCATTACTAACACACTAATTCGCGAAAACATTTCTTGATCTGCGAGCAAAAGCTGACTTGCCTTCGCTGCCTGCCCACCTACCTTGCTGTAGTTTTATGGGGCGTATTTGCGCGTCCGTGCCTTTGGGTCACATGTGCTCTCCCTTCAAACTGCTTGCAACTTGCGGAATGATTCAATCAGATGAAACGTGGCAGATACTGGTAAGCTTAAAGTGCATAGGGTTGTCCAGGAGCAGGCCTGCGAACCCCCTGACGTCCCCGTGTCACATGATCTGCACCTGGGGGAGATTAGCACCGCACGATGCGCTTAGTCTGTTCAAAAACAAGCTGGACGCCGAACTACATCACCCATCACAGGCACAACTGCTCAGCAGCACTCCTTGATGCAACAGCCTGGAAAAATTGCACCTCGAACCCACTGCCGACATGCCGACCATCCACGCACATCCACACTCCGAGGCGATTAGCAACACGCGCAGCTGCTTAGACGGAGCGCTTGTTGGCCGGCTGCCAGTCGCGGGCGCTCTTGGGGCGCTGCACCAGGAAGCCCATGATCTGCACCTGCTTCACGTTGTCGAAGGCCACCAGGCGCACGTAGGCGTCCGGGAAGGCCTTGGTGCAGGCAACGATCTCGCGCAGCACCTGCATCGGGTCGCGGCAGCCGAACATGGGCAGCTTCCACATCGTCCAGTAGCGGTTGTCGTAGTACAGCTGCGGGGGAGGGAGGCAGAAGCATGAGGAAGTCCAGCTTAGCATTAATACTGGAGGGCGGCCCAACCTCCTGTGCCTACAGAAGTGCATGACATTACAGGTGAACCACAGAAACGAATGACTACGTTGCAATGGCATGTCTTACTGTTTCTAAACCCCAACTTACGCAAGACACCGGACCGAAGCGGACGGTCGACTCGTTCGACACGTAGGCCTTGTCAGCCTCAGCGAACTCCAAGCAAGGAATCCAGCCTAAAAGAAGGGAGATGCCAGCCAGATATCCGTCAAGTACTGTACCTTAATGTGCAGTTCATATCCTCCGTACATGCGCGTGTGTTGCGCACGTGCGGCAACTTATATGTGATGGCAATAACCCACAACGACGGCGTTGTGGTAAAGCAGCTGGGTCCCGATCCTACCGTTGGCAACGATGTAGTCGACCTGAGCAGCAATCTGCTCATCGCTCAGGGGCGGCAGATAGGAGAAGGTCTCGAACATCCTGCATAGTTACAAATAATTGAAGACGGAAGAGTCTGCATGCTTTTCTCTCGTTGCAGAGGCAGGAATTCATCATGCAAGAACAAGGCGTATCAAGCATCATGTCCAACGACTCACTTGTTGTTCACCGGGGTCCAGACCATCATCTTGTTGGCCTGAGTCGGGGTTGCCACAGGCGTAGCCCTGACAGATGGCTTCAGAACGGCGACCGGGCGTACGCCGCTGCGTGCGGGACGCGCCACTGCCGTGGCCACCGACGACTTAGCAATGACTGCGGCCATTTCTCCTGTCTATTTGAGAAGTAAGCAACCTTGTCAGACGGATAAGGATGGCTCTTCTGCCCATTAGGTTGCTTCGGTTCTCTTTGTACTGGGATGATTGCTGTACTTTTGATAGAATGTACGGCGAGCCAACCCGAGCCACGGGTCTCAGGAGGGCCCTGAACATACGTCATTAAATGGCGTATTGAGGGATGAAATGAATGGTGTCGTTTGTGGAAGACATTATTTTATGGGGCCAATAATTGCGGACACAATGGTTTGTCAGTTTAGCTACCTTAATGTATTAGATATCAGGTAGAGGTTGAGGCTCCATGCCTTCTATGCCACTGCGGCAAGCTGCCCAACGCTTGGGAACAACGTCCGGGGCATATAGTTATGCTCTTTAGGCAATGGATTTCCAATGCGATATTGGGCATGCGGTTGCGGCCGCTACGATTGAAGATTAGATGTGGGAACATAGCCTGGGAAGGAGCGAGTTCTTTGGAATGGCTTAACCCCTGACAGGATACTGAGCCCTCCATGTAACACCCATGCTTAGATGCTCGCTTAAACATGGCATCCATGGGCATACCAATGAATTTTGCAACTGCAACTGCGAATGTTTGCTGGATTGTTGCGGTATAGTTGGCCTATCAGTTGCAGCCTGCCATACCCCAACTTCCAACCCTTGTTGATCGCCGACTCAGACAGCAAGCTACCTTGTTCCCTGGATAGGCTGCTACGGATCACACTGTGCTCCGGCAGTTCTTTCGTTGGCTTAAATAATATGAGTTCCACAGTTTTAAGGCTTGTCATGTCACTATTGCGAGCGTTGGAAAGTCATCCCCTTAGCCTTCTTGTGTGTACTTTCGGCTTGCGCCATGTCTTGGAATCGCAGAAGGTGGGCACTCATTGTGGGCAGCAGTGTCGGCTGCTCCTCCGGCTAACGGCGCTGTGCATGCAATACCTTCTTAACGGCTCCTTGTTTTCTTCCTTGGCAGCTTTCGAGCTAATCGTTACATTCATTAGGTTGTGCGGCTATAGCCGCAAAGTAAAAGTATCGTCAATAATTTTCTTCTCTGGATTGTCAAAAACCCGGATAACACGCGTCAGGACCATCACTTCAGGCAACCGTAGCGTTAAATGAGTTATTCATGGCGCTTGAAGTTTGTGACAGCTCGGTTGCACCACCCATCACAAGCGCAGCTGCTCAGCGAGCACCTTCGACGCAACAGCCAGGAAAAATTGCGCCAGTTGCCTGCCCACGATCAACTTAAGCCAACTCTGTACACACATTCATGCCCAGAACAACACGCGCAGGTGCTTAGACGGAGCGCTTGTTGGCCGGCTGCCAGTCGCGGGCGCTCTTGGGGCGCTGCACCAGGAAGCCCATGATCTGCACCTGCTTCACGTTGTCGAAGGCCACCAGGCGCACGTAGGCGTCCGGGAAGGCCTTGGTGCAGGCAACAATCTCGCGCAGCACCTGCATCGGGTCGCGGCAGCCGAACATGGGCAGCTTCCACATCGTCCAGTAGCGGTTGTCGTAGTACAGCTGCGGGGGAGGGGGAGATGGCAGAGGGAAAAGAACGACAGGATTGTCAGTTTGGTCAGCAAGTAAGACATTTCAGTCAAAAACAGAGCGACCCAAAAACATTGCTGGGCACAAACGTCTCGTAACCCTTAACTTACGCAGGAGACTGGGCCGAAGCGAACGGTCGACTCGTTCGACACGTAGGCCTTGTCGGCCTCAGCGAACTCAAGGCAAGGAATCCAGCCTGGGAAATGGGGAAATGTTATAGTAAAAATCTTTCGGAGACGATGACGTTGTACGAGAACAATTTACGCTTGCATAGCATCCAACCCCATCCTGAGATAGCATTGGAACGAGAGAAAAAGCGGGTCAAGATCATACCATTAGCAACGATGTAGTCGACCTGAGCAGCGATCTGCTCGTCGGTCAGAGGGGGCAGGTAGGAAAAGGTCTCGAACATCCTGCAATGCAAATCCAATCACTCAAAATTATAAAGGTTAGGTAGATTATTGAACAACTCAAAGGATTCACAAAATATCAAATCACAGCCATAAGCAACAATGTACAGCGACTCACTTGTTGTTCACCGGCGTCCAGACCATCATCTTGTTGGCCTGGGCCGGAGAAGCCACAGGAGCTGCCTTAATAGCCGGCTTGAGGACGGCGACCGGGCGCACGCTGCTGCGAGCTGGGCGCACCACAGCGGTGGCCACAGATGACTTAGCAACAATAGCGGCCATTTTCCTCCTTAGTGAGAAGTATGCGATGACTGAGCTGGTGAGAATGAGACTACTTCTGTCAACTTCAGTGCCGTTGCTGCCTTTTGTACCAAGGGGGCTACACCTGTACCACGATAAACTGTACGACAAAAGGGAACGGTAGCCAGGAGTTCCAAAGAGGGTTAAATGAATGTTATATAAGCTAGTAAGTATTAAATTTCTGTGCAAAGGATAGATGCCCAAGTCTTGGATGAGGCGAACTCGGCCGCATGTACGATATGGCTGACACATGTGTCAGCTGAATTCTGAGCGTTTGAAAGGTTCTAACGCCAGAATTTTACACAAGGAATGTTATGCGATGCAAAATTCGAAAGGATGGCTTGGGCTCCGGGGTGAAATATTAAACCTGAGGGCTTAGGTAGCCGTTTCCCAGGTTTGTTCCATCTTGCAGTCTCATGGTGCACCGCGCTGTCAAAAGGTATTAAGGGTAGTTCCGCCCGCATCGAAAATTTCGAAATCGAGATATCAACATTGTGTTTCCATCTTGCCTTGTAAGCCCCCTGCCGTGGGGCCTCGAAGACGCAGGTCCCGAAAGGATATTATGCCTTCAGAGGTTTGGGGGACGTTTAAAATGATTCTGGGTCGCTGGTTAATAGTACCGGCCCCTCCGCATGGCAGACGCCTTGACGAACGGCATGAGAGGACTTCCAACATATTACGCGTCTGTGATATGCCGTGCCAAAATCCTTGCCGCAACGCCAATCAATACCCTTCCAGGCCACGCGTGGACCTTTAGTGGCCTTCGACAGGGGGTTATGACCTAGAACTGCAATAATACGTGGCTCTAGGCAACTTGGTTTGGTGGTTTGGTTTGGTGGCTTTAGCGCTGGGGTAGAGGCGAGGCCGAGGGAGCTAGTTGCGTACGAGTGCCCACCGGAGATCGGGTGCCAGCCACGATTTCTAACGGCTACCTTGCCTCGACATTGGCTGCGAGCGATCCTTATGTGGTTCTCAATCTCGCAGATAAATCTTTTTAGTTTAGCGGGACAGGGCAGGTCACAGGATGACGATGGGAGCTAAGTGAATGGCTTGTCGCTCCGGCGACCACCACCCTGAGGACGGCTTCCTGCCGGTCGTTCCCGTTCGTTGAGCAGTGCGTCGCGGCCTCCCCCTGCGAACTGGACTAGGCCACAGTGATACATTAAGGTTGGGATTCCTGTAGATCCGTTTCTAGCTTGTTGCCCAGATCCAGAAGGCGCTAATAGGACAGCGTCAACCTGCTGTAAAAATCGCTTAAAGCTTAAGTTGATACCATACAACACCAACCAGGGACACCAACGCATAGCCATTAACGTAGGAAAGTGAGGCAAAGCTGAAAGCATTACAGCGGCTTCCCGGGAACGTACACTTGCCGAGCCTTGCCTACATCGGGTCTCGCCTTGTGAGCAGCTAAGCTTATACCACGCCATTCGCGGTTCATTGCCTGGGTCGCTTACTCTCCGTAGCCTGCTGGTAGGGGGATAAGCAGAGTTATGTGGCTTGCAAAGCTGCGCTGGACGAACTTGCTCCTGCGGGACATTCCTGCCGCGTGGCTAGAAGCAGCACGACTGGCTAACCCCTTGACACAAGGTGTGCGACTGCAGCTGCCGCTCGAGGACAACGATACTGAGCTTCGAATCACTTAGTTGGTGTGGAAGCTTCCCAACAATAGCAAGGTGGCGCTGAGGAAATGGTGGCGTACGGATGTGCACATGTACGGACGCGACGGCTGAGGTGGACTGTCTGTCTGTGAAACAGGGGGGTATATCTTCACCAGTGGCAGCTACCCTGCGAAACCCTGCCTTCCCCGGTATTTCGGGACATCCTCATCCAGTCACCCTAGTCAACTTCTCAGTGGATCGCTCAGGTTCCGCACCCACCACCAGCATCCAACGGAATCAGCCGGGCCGTCAGCAGCCCAACTCCATTCCTGGTCGGCGCGCAGGTTAACTCTATCCCAGATCACCACCGTCCAACAACTAGGGGCGCAATACATTCTACCAGCGGACGGATTTATGACCCTGAAAGAACTCGATCCCGGAATCTCCCGGGGGCAATGGTCGCGCGTTACCAGTAGAGCCTAACCTATGAATGGAATGTCTGTATGTCGCAGATTCCTGGGGGTTGGGAGCAGATGTGGAGGAGGTGCAGCTCGACGCCATGCTGTAAGGGCATGACAAATCAATGGTCGTCAACACTGAGCGCCTGAACGGCTTCCAGTTGACAGTTTTCCCGTCAGATCCTTAACACATGAACGGTGTGACCATTCCCACAGGGGGAACGCTGGTAGGTGGCATAGATGAGTTTATCTTAGCCCCAAATCGCGGCCGTGCCTAATGGCCTAGAGAATCCAATTATACTTGCTGGATGGGAGACAGATGGGAAACACTCGTTGCTAATTGCTATCCAAGCCGCGCTAAGGGATCTTGGTACCTTATTGGCTTTGGCACCTCTCTGCACCTCCTATGCAGCTTTTGTGGGCGGGCAGCGCGGGTAATTCTGCCGGATCCATCCCAACTTGATTCATTACATGTATTTACGAGCACAAAAGTCGAGTATTAATCAATAGTCAATATTCACTAAATTCTTCCAATGAGCTGACCTTCATGTAAACCGAACGGCCAGCACCGCCCTTCCTGCTATCTGCTCCGAGAGGGCAAAACATACATAAGAACTGCGCTGACCATACGAAACTGTCGAGCGACATCCAAAATACCAAGGTAAGCCATCTATGTCGCCATCTAATCGGGTCGAGGCATTTAATCTTCTCTGAACATCATTAAGAGAAGATGTATCTCCTAACAGGCAGCCCGAAGCATATGTCATTATTAGCGGATGGAATTTTTCCTAATGAATGGTTCACTACGAACAGCTGCTGAGCCAGCATCCCTTGATGCAACAGCAGGGAAAAATTGCACAGGACATGCTGGCATAAAACCATGCGAGCGCATCCACACTCCCGAGGCGATTAGCAACACGCGCAGCTGCTTAGACGGAGCGCTTGTTGGCCGGCTGCCAGTCGCGGGCGCTCTTGGGGCGCTGCACCAGGAAGCCCATGATCTGCACCTGCTTCACGTTGTCGAAGGCCACCAGGCGCACGTAGGCGTCCGGGAAGGCCTTGGTGCAGGCAACGATCTCGCGCAGCACCTGCATCGGGTCGCGGCAGCCGAACATGGGCAGCTTCCACATCGTCCAGTAGCGGTTGTCGTAGTACAGCTGCGGGGGAGGGAGGGACGGAAGCAGAAAAAAAGTATGTTTAGCGACGGCGCAAGAAAAAGTGGTCAAGTCCCGATAGGCTATGGAATACCTAACAGCGGAGTTGAAATGATGACCATCCCTTTCGCCGTATACCCCAACTTACGCAGGAGACTGGGCCGAAGCGGACGGTCGACTCGTTCGACACGTAGGCCTTGTCGGCCTCAGCGAACTCAAGGCAAGGAATCCAGCCTGATACAAAAGGGGGACATCCGAGAGTGTACAAACTTGCAAACCATTGCCCATACAACCCAAGCTGAAGCCCAAACTCCGATTGGAAGGCAACATTGACCCTTAGGAATGTTGCCTTACCATTAGCAACGATGTAGTCAACCTGAGCAGCGATCTGCTCGTCAGTCAGAGGGGGCAGGTAGGAAAAGGTCTCGAACATCCTGAAAGAGAAAACAAGTTGTGAACATAAAACGTGTAAGCAAGCGGAAAGAAAAGCGTTTGGCAGTACAAATATAAGACAAAACAAAAGAAATCGCAAGACAAGTACCGACGTGATTAGGCAAATACCGACGTGCCGTTCATGAAAGACATTCCTAATCTCGCTTCAGGGATACAGAATCAAGGTAATTTAGTAGATTGTGCAGTAGAAAAGGTGCAGCTACTCACTTGTTGTTCACCGGGGTCCAGACCATCATCTTGTTAGCCTGGGCCGGAGCAGTGACCGGGGCAGCCTTGACAGCCGGCTTCAGAGCTGCAACAGAACGCTGAACGCTGTTGCGGGATGGGCGCGCCACTGCGCTGGCCACAGATGATTTAGCAACAATAGCGGCCATTTTGGGATATGATTTAAATGTTTAAGAATCACTAATATATTAATTGTATGCTTAATTGTGATCACAGCTGATTGCTTTTGTATTGTGATGATCTGTACCACGATAAAACGTACGGCAGCGTTGAAGCCTTGGCACGGACTTCCCTGGGGCTAATGTTTTAATCTTGGAGAGCATATTCTGATAACCTTTGCATTTCATCAGGTCTAGGGCTTCAGTCGGAGAAAGCTCGGTCCTTAAGGTTCTCAGCCTTGGTCATAAGGATAAGGTTTTCGATGCCGTTTGCTAGTGCATAAGGTACAACTACCATTAAGAATCAAGTAATTTGCTCATTGCGGCAGAAAACGTGGTGTTGCACTATATAGCCTGTCAATGGCTTACGAAGGGCGAAGTGCCGTCAGACCTTTATGGCCATTCTGAGTGGCCAGCCCATACTTGCAAACAATGAGAATGTCCATACTTGATTCGGAAAGTAACAATTTCTGGCAGTTAGTGGTCAAAGCCTCGCCCGTGGAGCTCAATTTGAGGATAGACATTGTGTTGTGTTTTCAATTTCAAGTGTTCATGGATTCCATTACAAACTATTTTGGGACAGTTAAGAGTCACCATGAGGGCAGATCGCTGCAACCGCTTCTTTCGTCCGAATGGATGAGCCTTTAAGTTCTATACAAAGGCCGTGCAAGGGTCAATATCCATACCTGTGCTGAACGAAGCGACGCCTCAGTACTGGGCACCGCAGGCGGCCATTGCTCAGAATGCTCTGGATCAAGAGTTTTAGGCATCGTCTTCTGGCCCAGCAGCGGTTGTGATTTTCGTATTACTGCTGCGGCAATGGGGAGCTGTTTCACTGCAATTGGGCTTGGTCTAGAACACGTACAAACACGGATTTATAGGGTCGCATAAGACTGCAACGTCGTCCAACGACGTGGTTTTGTTGCAGCGTTTACAACACCAACGTTTGCGCGAGAGATGTGTGTAGGAAAACATGTGTGTGTGTGTTTTTGTGTGTGTGTTTTTGTGTGTGTGTTAGTATAGTGGGCTGTCGTATTTCCCTCAAGATGTTTCACTTAAGCCCAATCTCAAGTTCATCTGCAGCGCTAAGTTTCCATCTTCCCTCATTAATCGAGTAACGTTACAGTTTATCCCATCACCTCGAACCATGGCCGCAGAAATAGGAGGGGCGCGTACCTAATAGTATTAGCGCGTTAGGAAAACCCGCACTTATCACAATTAAGTCATGCCAGGATGGGTTGTTAGCATGCGTCCTCATAACGCGCCCCGCCTACGCCTCCTACGTGTCTAATCGTCACCCACACATTCAAACCACTAATCCCCCAAGCCGTCTATTCGGTCAGTCATCGTCAATATTTCTTCACTGAGCATGGCTACTATACCTAGTAGAAACTTCAAGGCATCATCCCACGACTGGAAAACCGCCGGATCCCACGTTTATTGCTGGCGTACACACACACTCATGAATGGCTAGTTATCGGTAAAAATTAGAATGCATCAACTCTGCACGCAACCTACAATCAACCAACTGAAAAAACATTTGCACCAGAAACCTGCTTCCTGTACGTGTACGATAAACCGACCAATTCTTCCGATATGCCGGCCATGCGTGCGCATCCACACTCCCGAGGCGATTAGCAACACGCGCAGCTGCTTAGACGGAGCGCTTGTTGGCCGGCTGCCAGTCGCGGGCGCTCTTGGGGCGCTGCACCAGGAAGCCCATGATCTGCACCTGCTTCACGTTGTCGAAGGCCACCAGGCGCACGTAGGCGTCCGGGAAGGCCTTGGTGCAGGCAACGATCTCGCGCAGCACCTGCATCGGGTCGCGGCAGCCGAACATGGGCAGCTTCCACATCGTCCAGTAGCGGTTGTCGTAGTACAGCTGCGGGGGAGGGAGGGACGGAAGCAGAAAAAAAGTATGTTTAGCGACGGCGCAAAAAAAAGTGGTCAAGTCCCGATAGGCTATGGAATACCTAACAGCGGAGTTGAAATGATGACCATCCCTTTCGCCATATCCCCCAACTTACGCAGGAGACCGGGCCGAAGCGAACGGTCGACTCGTTCGACACGTAGGCCTTGTCGGCCTCAGCGAACTCCAGGCAAGGGATCCAGCCTGGAGGGCGTTTACAGGCAGCGAACCACCTTAGCCACCGTGCCGTGAGAAAGCGAATACCATGCGGGTTACGAAACCCACGACCACTTTGAAAGAAACACGGATTCTTGGTATTGTAGCAAGGGAGATGGAGCAGATCCGTATGGTACATACTTGCCCTAAGTACGTGGGACAGAGCCTTACCATTAGCAACAATGTAGTCAACCTGAGCAGCGATCTGCTCGTCAGTCAGAGGCGGCAGGTAGGAAAAGGTCTCGAACATCCTGCAAGGTACAAATGCCTTAGGCCCTTATAATTCCGCTATATGATATAAGGATAGAAGGGCTCAGCGAATAGTCAATGAGGGCGAAGTAGTAACAGAGGGCAGCAGCTAGTTTTTCGCGCAGCAGCTCACTTGTTGTTCACCGGAGTCCAGACCATCATCTTGTTGGCCTGAGCCGGAGCAGTGACCGTGGCAGCCTTGACAGCCGGCTTCAGCACGGCGCATGGGCGCACGCTGCTGCGAGCAGGGCGCACCACAGCGGTGGCCACAGACGACTTCATCACCATAGCGGCCATCGTAGATAATTCTTTGGGGAAAACACAACAAATCTATGATGAATGCAGGCCCACACTGATTATTGAACTGCGCTGCGCTTTTTGTATTGGGACGACCATGATTATAGATTGTACGGTTAAAGTTCGTCGTACATTTTATCCTGGTACAGGTAGACCTGTGGCCAGGCTTTAATAATGCTTGGAGGGCATTGGTGCATTTCCATCTTGGAAAATACCCTAAGTAATCTTCTTTGTTTTTTGCTTGATTAGGGAATCAAGCAGTAGGTGAAACTTGGTTCCGTGTATGACGAGGCTGACTAATGCTTGTTGTTGGGAGGGCTTAAGTAGTAAATCCGTGTAGTAAGTCGGGTTACAAGGTGTTGATCAAGATTTTGGCCTAACGCAGACACTTGCATATCCTTGGAGGAAGTTACGGCTTGATGCAGGAGTTCCGCAGTTTCGGCCCATAGACACTTTATCGTTCGCATATGTAACATAGGCGGACAATGGTCTTTCAAGGCTAAACAGATTTCGGTGTAGATTGGTTGCGGTTGATTCACTTTGACGCTCAGTCCAGGAGATGTAAGGTTCAGGATCAGATTTATTTCGAATCTGTTCAAACTTAGCAGCAATAAGTTTGATCTGTATGAAAATCTCAAAATCAGCGTGTCGACGATTGTGTCGGAAATTCGATCGCCTTAAATCAAAGGTCTTGGACTTTATATCGCAGAAGATACTCGTCATCACACATTTGATTGGACGCGTTTAGATTTTATTACTAGCTAACATATCCGGCGTATGTTGTTGTAATTGGTTTATTCTTCCCTAATTCCAAAACCCATACTAGTTCAGAGAGAACACTCCACGTTCAGACCCACATTCAGATCCCATACTGCTTCACCGATTTCCGTTTTCATCGTTTGGTAACGATGAGCCCTGTTCTATGCTTATTGAGTTTCATTTATTGTAACAATGCATTCGAAGAAAGTAACTGGTCTAGGGATCTCTGTTAAGCATCGGAACACGTATCCTACCCGGAAGCAAGGATGTCCCACAGTCCGGAAGGCAATCCAAATTCGTGTGCGCTTACACATGAAAGGGTTTTCTGCTCAGGATTGAATTGAACGCGAGCGCGCTCGCTGTTCATATGCATCATTAGTGGGATGCAAATTATTGTGAAGCACACACGGATCAATGACCACGACCGAAACAAACAACTGAAAAACAAACATATGTACAACCACAGACAAAAACATTCCCAAAAACGAGAGTAGTCCACTAGAGAACTGCGAACAAAATTAAAAAATGTGTCCAGAGCTCATAAGCAAACTCCCAACTCAAAGAATGTTCTACTGATCTGGGTTCGTCCATTCCGCCAAAAGCGTTGAACGCTTAGACGGAGCGCTTGTTAGCCGGCTGCCAGTCGCGGGCGCTCTTGGGGCGCTGCACCAGGAAGCCCATGATCTGCACCTGCTTCACGTTGTCGAAGGCCACCAGGCGCACGTAGGCGTCCGGGAAGGCCTTGGTGCAGGCAACGATCTCGCGCAGCACCTGCATCGGGTCGCGGCAGCCGAACATGGGCAGCTTCCACATCGTCCAGTAGCGGTTGTCGTAGTACAGCTGCGGGGGAGGGAGGAATGGGGCAGGCGACAGGAGGGGATATTTATGTGTACATGATTGCTACACATGAAGACTTATTACATGGTCCTCTCGTAGAATACGATGAGTAATACAGTTGAGTTGATTACTTCATAATGGCGGAACATCCAGCTAACATCAACGAGGTTGAGGGTCAACTTACGCAGGAGACTGGGCCGAAGCGGACGGTCGACTCGTTCGAGACGTAGGCCTTGTCGGCCTCAGCGAACTCAAGGCAAGGAATCCAGCCTGACAACAGGAATAGAAGGCGAGTCAACCAATAATATACCCAAATGAGAGAAAAGGCACTTTAAATTATGCAATTAAAGCTGCTTTGTTTAATATGGGAACACTATTCGAGAATGGCCTGGACATTCCTCACCGTTCGCGACAATGTAGTCGACCTGGGCAGCAATCTGCTCGTCGGTCAAGGGCGGCAGGTAAGAGAAGGTCTCGAACATCCTGGAACATGAAAGGGACGCCATCAGAACGCAACCTTACATTTACTGTGCGATGACCTCACAAACGCAAGTATATTCATTTGCAAGGTGCAGCAATATCGCTAACTCGAGCACGAACTCACTTGTTGTTCACCGGAGTCCAGACCATCATCTTGTTGGCCTGAGCCGGAGCAGCGACCGTGGCAGCCTTGACAGCCGGCTTCAGCACGGCGCATGGGCGCACGCTGCTGCGAGCGGGGCGCGCAACAGCGGCAGCCACAGACGACTTAGCAATGATAGCGGCCATTTTGACTGTTTTGGTCTTTAGAACGTGATAAGTTCGGACAAAGTATCATAGAAATGCTGGCAAGCATTAATGACCAAGAGCGGGTACGGCGGATAGAGGTACGGAAAAGCTCATCCTCGTAACGCTCCGAATCGCCGACGGTTTCGCGTACGGCAAGCAAGACACCTAACACATTAGCGTATCATGTCTACTTTAACACTTGTTATTTTTCATTTAATAATTGGGTAGTCTGCAATAAATCAATCGATGTGCATATCATCTGTAGTATACATCAATGACCAGATTTCGATCGGCCAGGGAAGAATATATGTAGCCCTATGGATTTACTAAGCATGGCAGAGAGGACACGAAAGATGTCACTTGCGGGCTTCATAAGTGTGCGAGCGACTTGGTTCATACCGTGAGCTTCCATTTGCTGTTTGTGTCGTCAGGCCCAGTACCACATAGACACCTGGTACGCGTAGAAAGTAACTGATGCGAACCAAGCTATCAAGTGTTATAACCTTGACAGCTATCCAAAGACAGCTCCATCTCCACACCGCTGCATCGACATACGGTGGGGTTTCTTGGCCATGGTAGGGGGCTCGCCCTAGCTTCTCGAGGGCTTTCGCTAGCGTTTCTGCAAGGGACACGGTAATGCGGTGAGGTTGATTTGAAGGTTACACATTTTAAAGCTAAAGTGTCGGCACAATTGTGGAGGGGTCCGTCAAGCCGGCGCTCCGGATGGACCGTTGGTAAGAGTTTTTGTTGGGTGACATCATCGTCCTCCCGCGCCCGTTGAAGTGCGTGCCCCAGTATACCAGGTCTCGGAAGTTAGCTACTGCCAAGGGGGGGGGACAGTGCGCATGTTCATGCCCATACTAAGCCGTCAAGCTATCACAAGCATTACTAAAACATCCACAGCCACAAATCCCGCAGATTCTTACAATTCGCTCATGATCATGGGGCTTACAGTCCCCTAATCATCTATAGCCATATCTGATCACTGAACGATACATTGTCTGCCCAGATCTAGAACTAAAAGTTATTATTTTGGACATGCCAATAACCTCAACAAAACCTTAAAACCTTAAGGAAGAGCCCTTCAACTCTTAGTATCTTTCCGCAGCTGTAGCGCTGGTGGCATTAACGGTTTGCACGTCACTACATGCGCACATAAACATAAAACGTGCTTTCTTCCTCAGAGGTGACTTAAGGACTTCCGCCATGCCATGCCATAAGCCAGTATCCACACCATGTACTAGTACGTCACGACGATGCACCTAGAGTTTACTTTCCTGTGCTATACAGCATACCTATTAATGCTTATTTCACAAATGGTCATATACCTATGCAGCCCCGTTCGTGATGCATGGCTGAGGCTGCCATAGCTACCTCTTTTTCATGTCAGATTACATACTGACGGCTGACTTGCTCAGAACTTTAGCTTTACTGATTAGGGGAAAGTAGGGGGAGG